AAAAAGAGTAAGAGCTGCATGCCAAAATATATATTTTCACTGCGCATGCGCAGCTTCTGCCAGCTATCGATATTCCTGTAAGCCGATTAGATCGGGAGCTGTGAAAAATATCAGCATTCATTCTTTAATTTCCTTGCATTCGCTAATTTTTATTTTTGATCTAGCCAAGTTTGTGCATTTACTCCCCTTTCCAATTACTCCCTTCTGCAAGTCTCCCTATCCAAACCTTACCCAATCAATTACGGACAGCCCTAATCTCTCGAGCTCCTCAGATGTGTGCCTAAAAATAAATGATTAAGGGTGGATTTTTGAACAGAGAACTATCCGATAATGCTGCTTTATTCCCAGGAAATATCAATAGTTCTCTGTTCAAAAATCCACCCTAAATCTCCTAAGAGACAATCATGTGGAATACACAACTTCCCCACCACTTTGCTGAGGCGATCTGCTACGTGATATTTGCAATCTAATCAACTTGATAATTTCTATATCTCACCTCTTCGAGAGCTGCAAAATTGCCAAATGGAAACCTACTTACAAGAAATGTGATCCTTATTATCCAAATAACTATTGTCCCATCTCACCACTTCGTACCATTTGCAGAACTTCAGAAAAACGCATTGCCCTACGAAACTTCTTAGAACCCATCCTACCTCCGCACGAACTCGGTTTCCACTCATGCTAAACTGCTGTCATAAAACTCATGGATTCAACCATCGTACAAGAACTGGATTTAGGCACAGAATTAGTCTTAATTGACTTCTTCAGGGCCTTTGACACCTTAAACTACACCATCCCCCTTCATATGCTGGCTAACTTTAAGACGTGATCATGGCAGCCTTCATCTCCTCCAGTCCTGCCTCAGCAAACGTCAACAATGAATCTTCCTACGTGATTTTTTTTCTCTCTCTTCCCCTCCCCCCCCCCCCCCCCCCCCCCCCCACTCCCCCCCCCCCCCCCCCCCCCCAATAAGTCATCCCATAGGTGTCCCACAAGGTTCCATCCTCGATCATCCACTCTCTGTGTGCCGAAAAACATGCTTCCTTGAGCTCTATGGGGATGACACGGCCATTCATTCTTCTGATAACTCTCCCTCCAACATGCAAGACACCCTATAAAAGGACCTAGACAACTGGCTCTCCTAGACTGAAAAAAAGATAATCGACTCCTCTGAAACGAAATGCATGCTCGTGTCATCCAGCTCATCTCAGAACCATTAACACTCAAGGTTTGCTCCTCTCCCTGACCCTAACTGGGATGCCCAACGAGCAAGTCTCCTCCTTTAAATGCTTGGGCTTAACCCTTGACCACTCGATGTCCCTGAAAGAGCACTGCAACACTATCCTCAAGACGTGCCTCTCCATAGTCCACCTCATAAACTTGGCCTCCTTACATTTAAAACCCACATACGCAAATACGTTGCGCCATGGATAGTACTCCCTCGCATTCGTTACTGCCTTCCAACTACGAGTACCTGCTCAAAAGGGCACCTGCTAAATCAGCTCATCCTCAAAGAGTTTTCACACTACCGTGTGTTAAATAATAGTTGAGTCCCAAAAAAACATGAAGAAAAGGTTTAGTATTGTGTAGGACCACTAAAATTGTAAACGGTTCTAAAGGGTAGATACACACATTTTTTTACGGTAAAAAAAATTGCTTGCGTACGTATTACCGGAATTCCACAAATTAAATTCGAATTTAATGTTAAATCTGCAGACGGGTCATGCTATTCGAAATTTAAATGTGCATGGACCGAAGTATCTTTTTATTGTATTATTACTTCACGCTCATTTTGCCTTTTTATGCATACTTTTTTTAATACAATGTTTCACTTTATTCCATGGAAGAAGACAAGAAAACAGCCAACCTCATGATTTGAAAATGTGAAAATTCCACGCAACGTCTTTGATATAAGCATTAAATTCCAAATTAACTTGTGGAATTTCTGTGACATGCATGCTAATAATTTCTAATAAAAACAAAAATGCTCATATCTACCTTATCAAACAATGTATAATTTTAGTGATCTTGTAAAATATTATATTTCGTTCGTTTTTTTTTCGCATTTCTTTGGGACGTATAAGACAAGCAGGCTGCTTCCAACTTCTGAGCCATTCCTAAGGTGAACTGATGCTACGAATCTGAAAGACTATGAAATCCTCATAGTGGCTCATAGAACTCTCAGTCATCTCTTGCCAGCCGATCTTCATGCACAATTCAAGCATTTTATTCACCTTTACTCGCTAAAACATCTTCAAGAAACTTTCGGTGCAAGGCAGCAGGCTCCTCGCACCCACAGAAACTTTCGCCATAGAAGGGTATTCAGAAAGAATTCCCTCTCCCAACATCTCAGACTCATCACAGAAGCGGCAACTGTCGATCAATCGACGGTTCACCCGTCATAGCGTTTAACCTTCCCGCTTCTGGGGTTAAATCATCTGCTCATATTACTGGTCAGTGAGAAGCAACCGAAACGCCTTCTTCAATCCCCAGTGCAGCTCTACCAGGTCTCTAATTTCCCTCTCCTTCCTTTCCCTTCTCCTAAATCTGGTTTGCGTGGGACTTGTCCTTTCTGGAATGTAGGTGTCATCTTCCTGGCTTGTGTGTCCCCTCCCATCAGTAATTACCATAATTATTAACTTGTTATGTGCGTAGGCTCTAACCGCTTCTTACAAAGGAGGGTGGCCTAATCCTATGTGATTTTGCCTAATCGCGTCTCACGATAAAACTGGTGCCAGTCGATAGAGCACCTCAAGTAGTGCATAAGTGTCAATGGCCAAACCGTGATTCGAGGCTACTCTGATCTGTTGGAGGGCGAAAAAATCGGGCAATGTACAGGGTGGGCCAAAGAAAACAAACATAGCTATCATTTTTGGCAAGTTGTCAATCTGATTATAGGTTGCCGATTCCGATTAAATTTGGCAGACACATAGGGTGACTCAATTAGGGTTTGTGTGCCAATTTTCAAATAAAAATTCCTAAAGCTGAGATTGGCATTTCATTCACTTTTCATTACCAAAAAAGTAAGTGTTCATTTTTTCTTTCAGCTAAATTTTTTTTTTTTCAAAACTGACAAAAATAAACAAGCAAACAAACAGAAGAAATACAAATGTACAGATGCCAAAAACAAAAGCACAGTTTGGTTTAGGGACGTTCATTTCGACTGAAAAGGTGCTCAATGTGCCCTCCATTCTGCTGAACACGAGCCTCTAGTCTGGGACACCACAGGTCAATGGCCTCTGTCAATAAACCTTTTAGGGAGTGCCAGCAACATGCTCTTCCATGTAGCTGGCACTCCCCTAGAAGCAGTACCAAGAGCCCCCACTAGATGGTACCCACTTTCTCTGCACCCTTCATGATTGCAATGAAGTATCTGCCTTCCTGATTTAGCAAAAAGTGTTTCTTCCTCGTTTTTCCTCTTTTTAATGTGCAATTCATAAACAGATATTAGGAAAGCTGGGAATTACGATGTTTTGATTGCAATATAAGATTCGGGGAATGATTAAATTCTGAAGTTAAGTATGGGAATTCAGAAGTGTACAGGACTAGGAGAGGGTAGAGAGTCTAAGCTTTCTAATTTCATATGTAAATTATATGTTTTGGCAGTCGTAGACTTTTGCTCACCCCTCCAGGTGTCCGTATAGGATACGGAAGAAGAGAGCAGTGGGTCATCTTACTACTCTTCTTAGTAGGCTCTAGAGCAGCGATGAGCAACCCGCGGCCCGCGAGGTCCTGGTGTGCGACCCGCAGGGCTTTGCCAACTTAATTTTTTTCTCCTCTTGTCTGCCACCCGGAGTAGAGCGCACGTGCGCTCAAGGATTCTCAAGGCGACTCTGACAAAACAAGCCGTGTCGGTGTCTGCGAATCACTGCTCCTTCGTTCGCACAGAAAGGACCTTCTGAAGGAAATCGTTACTGGAGATGAGAGCTGGGTCCTCGACGTCGACCATACTCGCAAGAGTCAGTGGCTTCCACGAGGAGAATTACCGCCACACGAACCGAAACCAGGGTTCCACGAGAAGAAGGTTCTTCTCTGCTGTCGGTGGGATTCAGAAGGAATGTTGTACTATGAGCTCCTGCCAACCGGTACCACCGTGACTGCCGTCGTCTACGCTGCTCGACTTCAGAAGTTGGCTGGCGTCATTCAAAAAGAGCGTCTCAAACGCGACAAAGTTCTCCTTCTGCATGACAACGCTCGTCCACGTGTTGCGAATGACTCGCCAGACAATTTCGGAACCGGGCTGGGAAGTTTTACCCCATCCAGCGTATTCTCCGGACTTGGCCCCTTCCGACTATCACTCGTTCCGGGCCCTCAAGAATCACCTGCGGGACAAGGCACAAGACGATCGAGCACGGCTCGAAAATGATGTCGGCCGTTTCTTCGCTTCGCAATCGCCAGAGTTCTGGGCAAAGGGCATCGAGCAGTTACCCGTGCGTTGGGAACATGTCATAGACAACAATGGTCATTACATTGTTGACTGAAATTGCATTTCAATAAAGTTATAAAATTTTGAAAAATTTGCGCAGAGTGTTGCAAGACTTTCTTTCCAACCCAATATTTTACTACCTGGTTTACAAAGCTGGGCTTAAGATTATTTTGGTACTCTGCAGGCACAAAGCCTGTAATTCAGTATGGAAAAAAAATACATGCGGCCCGCCGGGAACCTGAAAGGTTCACTTGCGGCCCGCAAACAAAGGTTGCTCATCACTGCTCTAGAGCTAAGATTAATAGGTGAATCGGATATACTGTACATGAAGGCATTGGAACCCTTCCCAGCTGGTGGTACACCACAAACGAGCTAACTGGTAATGTGCTGGCCCTTAAGCGGGCCGGAAGGTGGCGGGCCAGTACTGGCAAGTGGGACATGCGGCTGGTGGCCCACAACCAAGTCAAGGTGATGGGCCACCAACTCTCTTCCCCAAACGTAGTTGGTGGCTCACCACCTATGTGCAACTTGGGTTTCTCTTCTATACAAAGCTGGCTGTGATATCTTTCCGAGAATGTGGTTAGTTATATGCTTATAGTTAGCTATATGCTACATAGACCGTCATAATTCGATTCTACGGGTCCGTTTTGTAGGTTTAGACACCTTGTTTCGAAATCTGCTATCTCATATTGCCCGAGTTTTTCGCCTCTAACGGATCAGGATAACGTCAGATCATGGTGTGGCCATTGACTCTTTTTCACTATTTGAGGTACTCTATCGAATGGCACTGGTTTCATCGTGGGACACGATTAGGCGGAAAATGGCCATCTTCCTTTGTGATTCCAATCTCTGCACCTCATCCCCAGTAAATGACCAATGCATCTAGGGTCGGACTTGCGACCAAGGGGCCCCCCGGGAAATACTCAGGTATCCCGGTGGCCCAGTCTGACCCTGAATGTATCTCTTCTATAGACCCTTGTTTATTTGGCTCTTTCTCATTATTGCCTCAGGGACAACAAGCACTAACAGTGCTGCTTCCCCTCTGCCTTGAACATACGTGCATGTCGTAAACAACTACCTTCCGGTTCCTTTAAATTGAACGAAACTAAACTAATTAGTCTCTCACCTGCGATAAGGGAGTATGCAATTCATTTTTTATTTATTCAGGGTGCTAGTTAAAAACACTAACTGTTACCAATGTTGTAAAGAAGGAACTTGGTGACTTTAACCCGGTGAAGAATCTTCTTGTAATTTCATGAAATTGAATCACTATTGAATCATACATTTTTGTGGTACATTTTGAGAACCAGATCCACTTATCGAGGGCAGAAAATCATTCACGGGTTGGCAACACTGGTCGTCCCTTCTCTTCATGGGTGACGGGGATTGAGGAAGACTGAGTCCACGCTCTTTCTTCAAGTTAAAGGAAGACTCTGATCGATTTTCCCTTAAGCAGCAAAAATGGAGCCTAAGGCAAGTAATAATTTTATAGTTCTCTTTAAAGGCTGATAATGTGAGCCAAACGCTACTCTACTTGAGTTGGTTCAGGTCCATACTGCTTAGTTATTAACAAATGAATTCGAACCGTCTGCAGCGTTAGGTTCATAGGCCTATGTCGTTTCATTCATGGGAGATGTGCCCTTGCCTCCTTGTATGCACCATATAGGTAGCATGGACAATATTAAAAGTAGAATAAATTCACGTTCGAATCATTGATAGCATATGCTGAACTTCAGGCCTACCGTAATAGTTGATTCTTGGCTACCACCTATATCCAAGGTAGCCCATGTCCTTCATAGATCCTGGACAAACCCTCCTGTTCTTAGCTTTTTTGGAACCATTTTTTGCTGTTTATGAACACCTGACCATTGGAACTCCTATATGGCTGATACTCAATGGATACTCTTGTTAACCTTAGCTATTAACTTATCCAAAACCATTTTGAGACAGCATGAAGAATGGGAACACAGAACAGCCAACTTGAAGGTTGATATGAGTGTACTTGCTACTGTTGCAGGTGTCTGCTCATTAAGCTAAATCAACTGGTTTAGCCATGACCAGGAAATTGTGGACTTATTAAACCAGATTTCTGGCTAGGCCAAGAAGTAATGCCTTTGACCCATTATCTGCTAGCATCCCAAAATTGGGACATGTGACAATTTCATCTTCATTTTGTTATGAATATTACAAATGACATAAGCAAAGTAGCACCTATTTCCCTAGACTCTATCTCATGGGGAATCCTTCATTATGTGAACTCCTCAGCAATGCCAACCTTGACTTGTGTACACCCCCCCTGTTCAGTGCACATTGGGGTACAGGTGTCCTCATTGTGTGCTTGTCAAGTTACACATTTGACGTGACACACCTAAAATCATTGGAACCTCAAACTCTTACCCAAGTTTCTTCTATGAATTGAAAAATCCCCAAAAGCCTGATTTCATGGGTTTCCCTGGCAGGAGTCCCAGTGTCCTTTATTTACAGGTAGGTCGATGGGAACTGAAACTCCTTCACACTATCATCTTCACCATGTACACCATTGTACTGGAGTCACTCTTCAGGCAGGCCCAGGACTCCTGCCAAAGCCTTGGAAAGATGTGCTGCACCATTGTCTACTGATAGGTTTTCTGCCAGCCTTCCTGGACATCCTTGGGTGTATCTCAGGCTGCATGTGGGAGCTGTGTTAGGAAAATGGGGGTATTGCCTATTGCTCCAAAGAAGCAGCTTGAAGTGGATTTTCTTGTGGATGGCAAACCTCTGCATGGCAGTTTGTGAGGTTCAGGTAGAGTGTTGCCTTCCATGAGAACCTCCAGTTCGTGCTACCCCTCAAGATTGAGAAATCTTGTTAAGTTCGAAGTTAGATTTTCATGACACACACTTCCATGCACATCCTGATATGACCAGGATGACAGGACATCTTAGCTGGACACAACATTTAACATTATGGATTAGTAGGCCTAGCTGATGCATGGTGTACACAGGGGCATAGTGTACACTAGACAAAGTATGCATTGCAAGAGGAGTGTTCACAAAAGGAGGATACACCCCTCATGCCCTTTAATGAAATCTTGCAAGTATTCTCATGAGTATGGTTTTCATTGGCAATTTCTTAGGATGACTGATTTAGGTAGGCCAGAATAGCATGAGAAGTACTCCACCACCAATCGGCTAGACTGAAATCTCAACTGCCTCCTATTCTGGTTAAAATTGGCAGAGTTGTAGTTGGGTTCATTTTGAGTAACTGCTTTTAATTTTATTTAATGAAATCTTGAACTGTTATCCTGATACAAGATTTTAGCTGTTACCTATTTTTGTTTATCTGTAAAAACCTATGAACAGAACTGTGGAAGTGTTCCAGCAGTAACTTGCCACATAATCAATATAGAAGCTTTTTCTGATGTCAATTTTAACTGTAAAATTGCTATCTTCTCAATGGTACAGCAAGTAAAGCTCAAGGAGACACTTAAAAATTCAACTTAATCTAACATTTAGATCAACTTGATTAATTTATTGTTATTTCTCATATCTTGAAGCATGGATATATGATCTTTTTAAATTAAAAGTTTGTTAAAAATTGAGGAATTATAATTAATGAAATAGGAAGAAGTAAAATATGAAAATAACTGTAATCATTATGTGAAATAAAGAAACAAGGAGGGGGTGATAGAGTGACTATGACACATGTTTATGCCAATTTTCAACTCAATCTCAGAACTTGGGTGTTCATGGGCTATTACTGTAGTTCTTTATGAATCTGGCTGAAAAGACACTCAAGCTTTTTCACAAAGATGCCTATGATGAGATCACAGTTCAAATTTGAACAGGTCTGGTTAGTCTAATGTGTTGTGGCATTTTGCACACCATAAGACTAGGTAGGGTTTATTATTAGGAAGTGTTGACAAAATAAAAATTGTCATTGATCATCAGATAAAGATGGATATTTTGCATTTGTTTTGCAGTTGCAGCAGAAAGATCCAATTCAGTCTGTTCAGGTGTTTGGCCGAAAGGTGAGCTCTTGTCATGATTGATCTGACATAACCTAGCCAAAATAATGGTATGGACCTAGCAGATATCTCTGCAGCAGGATATATGCAAATGCTGGAGATCCTGGTTTTTCTATCAATATTAGAGGACTGTTCACATTACCTCTCAACTTTTGCTGACTTATTTCTGTCTACATTGCACAGGTTGTTTGCATTTAACTTGCTTCCTAACTGTTTGAGATGCAGTATTATTTATCTTGTTCCTGCATGCCATTTGTTTTTGACGAAGTGTTATGGATCTGTAGCATCATCTGGTAAACTGATTGTTTCCTACTTAATATTGTGTATGTATTAGGTGCTTGGTTATGGCAAATTTTGTACACCAGTGCATGGACAAAGATATGGGTACACATGGCTAGCAGAACTGAGACACTTTAGGGGTTAACCTTTTTGTGAGCAATGGGAAATATTCATCCCAGAAAAAATTTAACTCTCAACCCTCCTCATGCTCTGGGAAGGCTGCATATGAAAAGATTTTCCCATGAAATGGTTAACCCTTTGGGAAGCATGAACTTACCAGTGCATCTATACTCCCAAAAGGTTTTAGAAAACTCACTCCTCTAAGGGTTAAATACTGTTTTAGGAACATTCAGCCAATTGCTTGTAGAGCTTATTTCTAATTTTTTTTAGTGCTATGAGGAAATTAATTGAGACTCAGTTGCATGCATTCTTTCAACTTTGTGGCATGATTATGCACATCCATATTTCTATGCAGCTGTGTGATTCCTCATTTAAATTAAATTAAGTTTAATATATAGCAGGCTGTGTGCTTCTTATATGGACATTTATTTGTAAAACAATCCATTTGCCTTTCCCATACCCCACCACATATGAAATCATATATGACAAATTGTGCCATGTATGCTGTGCATCAGTTGAAGTGGATGCATTTCATTTTTTGTTGTATTTGAAGAATTCTGCTGTTATCTGCTATTAAAATGTCTAAAAACATAAGAAATTACAATTAATTTACAATTCTGTGGAACTGTAAATAAGTTGAGATGTATTGCCTGTCATTTATTTCACAAAAAATGCATCCAAGTTAATTTTAAATGAGAAAATGTAAGATATCCGCTTCAATTGATGTGCAGTGCATTATTTATTGTATCTTTACATTATTTAAAGTCTCAAAGTTAATTGCATCATACATGATGGATCTGTATGGTATAGTGAACATCTATTGACAAGTTCTTTGGTTGCTTTGAGCATACTATGAGACTGTCTCATAGGGTCATTTCAGAAGCAATTTCACCACTCTTCTATTGCACTAACTACATAATATATAGACATTAGTACTCCCAAAAAGCCCATAGCCAAGTTCTTCCTGTGTGACAAACTGCATTATACCATCAGGTCTTGTAGATTGATTGCTGTATACTATCACCCTCTTTACTGCTAAGCAGAGGTCACTGAGTCCTCAGAACTAATGGTCAAGTATCATCTTTCAGCTTAGAATTTGGTCAGAGTCAAATCCTTCTAGCCCCTTTCTGAAAGGAGGGTACTCACAGAATGTATGAAATGGTGTGTCTTTTTTTAATTGGATACTGGTGCTCTGATTCTGGAGTTGTCAATGATTCCATTGAATGGCTGGATGCATAGGATAGGAATTCCTGATACTACACTGCATTGACTGGGAATTCCAGCCCAGGAAACTGCATCATCCATAACTTGAGACCAAGGACACTATCATTCTTTTTGAATACATGATATACCATTTCATAAATTCTGTGTGTTTTCCCTGCAGGATGGGGCTGGGAGTTCATTTAGCCTCTTCCATATTTACCCACTCCGACCCCTTGTGACTTTAACCAAATTCCACAGCTGAATGCAAAATGAAAACATTGGAGCACCATTTAAGTGATCCAAAGATGCTGTGGTTGCTTACTGTGAGGCTCTGGTTGACTTTATCAAAGGTGATTGATTTTGCTGTTGATCTTCTTGGTTTAAATTAATGCCAATGTGTATTGATGCTCAGAGTGGTCTCTTTAAGAAGCAATGAAGAACTTATTCAAATTTTATTTAAAAATAACAGTAGATATGAACTTTCAGAGTGACTCTCTTATTCCTATGGATATATAATTGTGGGACTTGCATCAAATCCCTGATATGTTTAATCTATTTTCATATCTTTGTTTCTGTATCTCATCATGCATGTCTTTATTTATAAAAAGAACCAGTGGCATGATTGTTTCATGTGTGCTCATATGCAAATTCTCATGTGGAACCCTTTTGCCAAATGCCTAGCTCCTCAGGTGGACTGCTGGATATTCTTTGTTACATTTAAATATAAACATATTGGATGTTGATAACCTAAATGTGAAAAAAAGCTAAAAATTACTCTTATTTGATGTAATGCAACAATTTTGATGCAACCTATGTCCTTTTTCTTATGAGGAAACCTGATATAATTTTTATCTGTCAATAGACAATGCTGATTGCAACCTGTGGGAAGTATAGTGAGCAGATAAATCTTACAAATTGGTGTCATATATATATAGTTGATATAGGATAGTCACAGGAAGCAATATGGAGTAATGTGATGTGGCTAGCATGTACAAGTCATCCAGTGATAACTATTAGCTAGAGAACTTCAGAATGGAGAATGCCTGAAATGTGCATAATATTTCTCTTCTATAGAAAAATGCTACAGCAGTAGCCTACTGCAAGAGGGGTCATGGACTCATCAAAGTCAATGGAAAACCACTTGAACTTGTTGAGCCAAGGATGCTTCAGTACAAGCTCCAGGAGCCCATTCTCCTACTTGGAAAGGTATTTTCATCATTCAACATGTTATACTTTGAAGGTTGAAGATGTGATACATAACATAAATTCCAGTAATGCTTAAGAACTTTAGAGGCCTACTTGAAGCTATTATGGAAGTGCAATGCTGCATTGAATTTGGAGGAAAAAAATCGTGTAGCAACTGCACTAACTTGACACTTCTAGCTCTCAGTGAGAAGTTGCTAGTTTTACTGAGACATTTCAAACATTCAGAGCACTGGTGCTATTGCTGACCCAAATGAATAGTCCAAAGCACAAGCTGCTGCACATGATCCAGTTACTGTGACTTGGCAATATAACCCGTCATAAATTGCAAAACGAAACATCTCTTGGTGACCATAACCATTGAAGATATAGGTCCTTGACAAAGGCATACATTTTTCTGCACCTCTCTATATTAGAAAGTCTGCATGTTGTATGTTTCTAATGAGTTTTGCTGATTTCTTAATTTCCTCTACACAGGAGAGGTTCAAGGATGTTGACATTCGTGTGAGAGTCAAAGGAGGTGGACACGTTGCACAGATATATGCCATTCGACAATCTGTCTCCAAAGCTCTGGTTGCATATTATCAGAAATGTGAGTCATCCCTTGCCTTGTATCTTTCATATATGGTCTCAGAGAAAACTGAATCAAATTTAAAGTCTGTCTGAAAGGATAAAGTGATTCTTGTACTACAAGTAGAAATCAAGAACCATGAAGTCCAGCTTTAGTTTTGAAGCAGAGGAAAAGATGGTATGTAAAAGAAGGTTCTTGATGATTGTTTCCTATGCCTTTTTTTTCCTTTCCAGGCACATGTGATTGTAACTTATGATTGGGAAGGGGCATTACTAAGATATTCTCCATTCATAATTCATTATATTATTATACATTTCACTTGAAATGCTTTGCTGTGCTTTTGGCAGATGTGGATGAAGCATCGAAGAAGGAGATCAAGGACATCCTGGTGAACTACGATCGAACTCTTCTGGTTGCTGATCCTAGACGTTGCGAGCCTAAGAAGTTTGGAGGACCAGGGGCAAGGGCAAGATACCAGAAGTCCTATCGTTGATTTCCTTTCTCACCCCATTTCCGAGGAATAAAAATCTTGTGGGCTTCTGTATTGAGTTATTGCATCTCAAATTAATTTTTTTATATTTTCAAGATGGAATCAACAGTGCTGACTCATTGTTTCTATCTTGTAACAACTACACTTGGAGGGGAATTACAGGAGCTTATTAAACTCTTTGAGCACTAACCCTTTGGCAGGCAGAGTCCATGCTTGAGGAAAAAAGATGATCGAATGAAAGGAAATTTGACCTGGAGAGGGTCATGGAATAAAGTGGAGGGGAAGTATTATCTCAGGGTAATTTATTAGAAAAATTTTATTTAAGGGAGAATTTTTAGGAAGAAAAAAAGGATAAATTATGCAGTCATACTTTCTATCCCCACATGCTCCTGGCAGATTGCATTTGTCCTGTGAACATGAAAGGGAAGCAATCTCATGCAACTGGACAATTGGCCGTAGGAGAAATGGGACACCCATGGAGTGTGTAATGTAGTAATTTATTAATGTTTTTTTGGTTTCCAGTAATTTTTCTCCAGGATAAAGAGTGCTATAATGCAACAGCATTATATGGGATCATGCTATTAGTGGGGTATTACTGTGTTGTCTTAGCCTTGTGTGGTTCTTGTTGAAATCAACTCACCTGGTTTTGAACCTGTTTGCAGAAGAATAATTTTATCATTAGAGAGAAAATTCCAGTCCTGCATCTGACAATGTCCTCTGATGCATAAAGTCTTCACCTTTGACTCAGAACCTACTTACTTGTATATGCATATTGTGAACAAAATGAGCATGGGTCATGATAACCTACCATTCCTGTCACTCATTACCAGTGGCTTTGCGAGGGGGGGCTTCAGCCCCCCCCAAGTTTGGTTCAACCCCCCCCAACTCTGGTCAGAATGTGTCCACCCAACCCCAATGAGGAGAAGTTAGCCCCCCCATTGACAAAAACCTGGCTACACCACTGCTCATAACTGTCTTCTCAGCTCCCTTGCACTTTCTTCATGGAGGCACATTCAAAGATGCATGAGAATAGACTATCCATTCAAAGGTACACAAAATCATAGTGCAAGTCCACTATGATAACGTGAATCAAGAGAAACTCAATCTCCCAGGTTGGGTGTGAAACTGGACCCCTAGGCTGCTACCCAGTCAAGTGCACAGACTGTTTAGTGACCTGTGTGCAAACCCAAGTTCAGCTCTGCAACTGTTGAACACATCAAGTAAAAAGCAATGGGATTTTGTGTAACTTGATGATCTTGCATACACGCTTGTTAAAATCAAGCTGAAAACAAATTTGGAGAGAATTCAAGTGAAGCTTTTGAGTACCCTGACCAATGATCTGGATTTGCATAAAATTATTACAGTCCATAATGGATTTCCTGTTGAGAAGTGGACAAGGAGGAAGTAGTTCTTAACAACCATGGAAGACACCATTTCTTCATGATGCACTTCAAGCATTACACTTTAACCACCAACTGAAACTTCCATCAAAGCAAACCTCAAGGGATTTTCTGGGTCAACCCCATTCCAGTCCATCTTCTCATCTGGCCCACTGGTCCTTTCGCTGAACTGTAATCTCATGTGGGATCCACTATCTATGTACATAACGATCTGCTGATGTCTGTATGACTGGAATTTGTCCAGTGATCTCCCCCCAGGTTTCTCAACTGTTTCATCAACAATTCATTTTTTTTTTAAATTTAGAGTTGACCTCAGACCTGACTCGGATGACCTTTCATATTAATTTTGAACCCTATTACCTGCGTGGTACATCACTCGAAAGCCTTCAATTTCCCCTGTTAGAATTTGTTTTTATGGTGCAAAAATGTTGATGTTTGATGCTGCTGCGGTCAATGTTGAGAATGCACTAGCGCCATCTCTATACAGTCTTGATAACTGCTTTGACATTACAGCACCAATCTCCGGTGCTTGATTTCAGATAATAGCTCACTTTCCTTCTCAGTTGTACTGAGACTCCTGAGTTATTCTTTTCACCTGAAGGATTCCATTCACTCCTCTTCTGCACACAGAAAGACCTATTTTTAGAGAGAGCAGGTGCTCAGGTACACAATCTGAAAAAACATACACTTCAGGACCAAGACTGGAATTGAAATTGCTGCTATTCATGCCTTCTTCAAGATCAGCATTTTTTTTTATTGATGGGAGATCTTTAGACAGTGGCATATTTTGGCTCACGAGTCACAGTAAAAGGAAGGAGGCTGCAAAGTCCGATGGAGAGAAGATGCTGAGCTAAGGTTCTCAGAGGCAAAAATATATATTCCAAGGGCTGCAAGTGGGTAGCCACCTCCCCATAAACATACCGCATTTGGTAGAGAACAGGACACAATTACGAATTTCCTGACAAACTGAATTCAAATTGGTTCTGTCTTTTTCTGATTCACTCCAAACTTTTTGAAATGAGCATGCTTAAAACGGGTTTTACTATGGAATATCTGTCTGAACTACTTCTAATCTTAACCCTTTTCGCACCACGGGAACTATACATAGTTGATCAAAGCCTTTGGATCGGCTGCATGGCACTGAAAGGGTTAAGAAAGTACAAAGTGAATTTATTTATGGTGGAGAGTCAATCCAAGTTAACTCAAGTTCCTGCTTAATGGACTAAGCTTGAAAAGTGCTGGAGGCATCTTTAGAAATATCCAAGGAGCATTAGGAACAATTGTGATAAAAACTCTGAACTGCTTGCATTTTTGTTCATTTCATGAAAATCCTACCTTTGTCCAGTTTTTAGAATGATGGAAACACATTGCGTAACCATGTAAAGACTCTAACTTATCCTATTTGCATCATCTTAATATAAAATTATATTAAAAACCAGGATTTTGTGATAGAGGCACATTGCTCTGATGCTGGGACATGCCTTTCATGGAAGGAATGGTGCATAGGCATGAAGCTGTATTTTTCAGAAAATAATGTACAGTCGACTCCGCTTAATGGAATACTCACGGGATCAGCGAACTTTATTCTATAATCCGGAGTATTCCAATAACCGAAACAATCGTACTGGACTTTTCTTCATACTTCAGGCAACTTTTAAAATGTATATACTGTGGTACAGTACCCGTATTTGCGCATTCGTCACTTCTAAGAATGCGTTTTGCGTATTACAATATTTTGCTCGCTTGCGTTTGATGATCTTTGAAACTCGCGGCCGAGAGATTCCATACTACCGAGCCAGTTCAGGTCGCGTCTTCTTTTCGTCTGATAAGCATTCAGAACTGCGATCTTATCGGCCAAGCTGAGGTCTTTCCTTTTCCGAAGGGTCAACTTGGAATGTGCAGAACTGATGCCTACAGGCTCAATTTATAGTTCAGGTAAACTTTATTTCCCTTTCGCCTAAAAAAGGCAGGCTAATTTGCCACTTTTCCGCATTTGTAGCCTATCCCTACACCCCAATTTCTAGGAAAGGGTGTGTTTGCCTTTCTTCCTCTCCTCGTCCTCGCTTCACTGAAGTCAATTGCGGTCAAGTGGGAACTCGTGACCTTGGTACTACGAAGGGGAGGGTGAGACTGGGGGAAGGGCCGGAGGAGACTTTCCAAGAACGCGAAAGGGAGAAATACGCATTTCGTTTTACAGTGAACTGAAAAAAGTTTCCGTCTTTCAATAAAGTTTATTCCATTAAGCGCGCTATTCTAATAACCGTATTCCTTTATGCGATGTTTTTCATAATGTACCTTATAGTGGAAAAATCGGGACCGTACAATAGTATTCGATTATGCAGAGTCGACTGTACTGTCATGAGAGCATTGACAATACCAGCCCTTCCAGGCATGGACATCCCAAAAGTTTTACACTTTCATGAAAAATGGATTAGATCTGCAGAATACATGTCACACACGCAAAACTGCAACAATTGTGAACCATCTCCACATGCTCTTTCTGAAGACAGTAGCCATTAGAAGCTGAGAAACGTGAGTTGTCCATTCTCCTCGAAACAGATTCCATTCTCTTGGGTTCAAAGAATGTTGTCTCCATTCTAGTTTTTTACTTGAGACATTTTCTACCCAATTCAGAGACCACCCATGCAATGGGCATTCTGAATGCATGAGCACCTGTGTTGTTTAACCCTTTCAGACCCTGCATCCATTCAAATGAAAGTAACATTTTCATTGTTTCTATGATAATATCTTGGGATTCTCGTGACTTTCCGCCCCATATTACACTACAATGGACTCAATTCCGTTGAAGGCCTTCTCTCACCCGTCAATTTTGTAATTTTGGGTTATGTAATTACATTTATAATACATATGGTACATTTATATTAAATATAAAAACGATATATAAAACTTAACAATTTAAAGTAGAACAGGAAAAGAGCTCAAAAATGCGAAAAATTATATTATTCAGATAGTGGCCTTAATTCAGGTCTGAAAGGTTTAAGAATATTTGACTTAAGGGAAAAACCCCAACATCTATAGTGTATCTTAGCACTTCAGTTCCAGCTGAATTGCAGTCTAATCTGTACCCTGAGGACATTTTGACTTTTAGAAATGTAAGGTATGAACTTTCCTCAA